GAGCCCAAGTGGCCGAGGCGCGGGGGCTCCATGCACCGAGCATCGTGGAACGGAATGGTGCGAACAGTCTCATCACTGTTGAGGGCTTTTGATTGTTGGGTACCGGGTATGTTCAAGTTGGATCCACTCCTGGTATGCTAGAAGGCAGCTAGCAGCGTTTTCTTTCTTGTTCTGGCAGGTGTCGGATGTTTTGTCCAACCAGCGAGATCTCGCCCGTTCGAACTTGAGTCTTTCGGGGGGGGTCGGTATGGCTCGGTGGCGACAAACATTGGTAGCGGGGTGCGCCCATATGATCCACATTTGATTTGGTTTGTTACACCGATGAGGGAGTTGATCTCATCAGATATCAATGAGTTGTCCCATCCACTTCTATCAGTAAACTGCGCTGGCATCCAGCGGGTCATCGAGATCGCATTTTCCCTAGTTGAAGCATGCTGGTGCTAAAGCTGCTAAAGCTCGTGTTGCATCGCCCCTAGGGAAACCCAGTCTGATTCATAGGATACGTTGGATAAGTCACCACCTGAACTTGGGACTCCCAGAAGGTCGAGTGGCTGTTCAACCAACTGATTTCAAGATTGCCCATTACAACCCTATTGAGTCCAATTGAGCTCTCACCGCGACGCAGTGTCTTTGGTGGGCGAAAGATGAACAAACCACCCGCAAGAACACCCTGGGAAACTCTTTTTCAGAATGATTTCAAAGCCTGCACACAGGTGTCCCTTTCACCAGAAGGAAAACACACGACCCTTGGAAAGCAAACCTGCTTTGGGGGACCGTGGTCACCGTGGCCTCAGGAGGCACAGCTTCAGCTACAGGCCAGGCGTCGAAGCGGTGTCTGACGGGCCTTTCATGTCATGAGATGCCCACAGCCCAGGACTCGACTCCCTGCACATTGGAATCATCAGCTTGCGAGATCAAGATCACTGGAAAGTACCATCAAACAACTCTTCTCTCATGCCTGTTTCCTCCTTTTGAGAACTGGAAAATCAATGAACATCCTGTTTCCCAAGAAGCCAGTTGTCACTAGAGGTCCAGTTGCCACTCTTGGTTCCAATCTCAGCTCCCATCCGGAGCCTTCATCGCTTCATCGACAACACAGGCACGCTTGAGCGAGAAGGAGGCACAGCTAGTGCCGCTCAGGTCTCAGTTGGCCAAGGCGAACTGCTGTCCGAGAGCTTTGGTCGGGTACAGAACATTCCGTTGGTGCCACCAGTGGTGGTCCCACAAAGGTGAGTCTTAGGTAGGGGGTGTTTGGGGGCAGTCAAGAGCGGTCTTGCATCATGCACCAATCAAAGGTACCGGCCAGCTTTTTAAGCCGAAATCGGAGGCCTCCGCTGCGGCCAGCGAGCATCGGATCTTGAACAACTCCTTGCAAGAGCAGTTGGAGTTGGTCCGGCGCCCGGAACGAACCGAAAGGTCAGGGAACGAGCTCAGTTGTTCAAGGAAAGGTGCAGGGTATCTGGTCGATGGTGGAAGAATGTGGAAGATAGATTGGCCAGTTATTGGTGTGATTGGATTGAATCTTTAGAAGGGTGCTCAACTCTTCGCAACTTCCGGACGGGGTCTAGAGTCTAGAACATTCGGGAACCCCATTCAGTCAGCAACAGCGGAGACCTGTTTGAGGCTCCAACTGATTGGTCGAGTAACACCCATGCTTCGCTTGGGAAGCCATAGGAAAAGGCTTGTTTCTGCTCAAGCTTGTGACACATGTGACAGGACTTCCTCCAAAAAATGCGTGCGCATTTTCCGATTTTCGCGTCATATCAATTGCGTCCCGACGCAAACAAACTGTGTTTCATGTAATCCAGACTCAACATACCTCAGCCCTGGCCCAGCAGCCCAGTTCCACCGCTGCAGGTGGTGAAGACCTCTGAGGCGCGGGCTGCCAGCTGTGCAGAGGCCAAGGCGAAGCTGCAGCGTGCCGAGCAGCAGACGGACTTCGCCCGGAAGGCGGAGACCACGGCGGTGAAGCCATGAAAGGGTGGTGAAGTAGGTGGGATGGACCATGTGTGGAGCTGGGGGGGGATAGGGATGGATAGGTGGACGAATCCGGCGACCTGATTCCATACCAAATTATCCCAAGCAAGTCCTCAGTCTCTTCATTGAGCTGCCTGGCTTTGGGCAGGAGTGACCAGTGATCACCGTTTGGTCAAGACGCGAGTGCTTCAGGAGGCCGAGCTCTTGTCCGGCCGCATCACGGACTTGGAGAAGGAGCTTTGTAGTCCGGGTCGTTCTTTTTTACTGCGAAAGTCAATTTGGACCAGAGCCCAACAGAAAAGCACCTTGCAGGGATATATTATATATTTCAATCATTGACATAGGTTCAATAGATCAACATAACTCAACGAAGCGTTTTTCAACACGTGGAAAGTTTCAATTACCTGAAATGGCATTGACTTTTCTACATACTTTTTCTATGTTTTGTCACAATAGCTGGGACATCAGCGGCGCACTAGCGAGTCCCCCTGAGCAGTGTGCGGTCTTATGACACATTGGGCCTTTGATCTCTTTGCCCCCGGCCCCAGGTCTTTTGCAAAGGAACTGATCCAACCGGTCCTGAGATTTTTAGCTTTATGGGGAGATGTCGCCAATCATGTCACCAATTCTGTTTATAGGAGCGTGACGATCTCACAGAGCAACTGGAGCTTTCCCAGAGGGACTATGCTGAACTGCAGAAGGCTGGAACCGACACGTGTTGGGAAGCGCCGGATTTCCGACCCGACACCCGTCGTGTGTCACTGTCACATACTGTCACTCTATATCACTTGATATTTAGATGATTGGATACCCTCCCAACATGCTGAAGTTTCGAATGCAGATCTTTGCTTTCCCACTCTCTCCCCTCTCTCTCTCTCTCTGTGTCTCTCTCCGAGGCCTACGATGAGGCGGGTGGTGCCCTTTGCGAGCGCTTCGGCGAGGCCCGGGAACCAAACGGGTTCAAACACCTGAGCCACGCAACCTGGCAACTAATTCCAAGGGCAACAAATTCCAATGTTTCCAAGGTTTCAAGGGCCAGGTATTTTTTTCTGGGAGAAAAAGGGCCAATCCCCTGGCGCAACCAAAAAGATCCAAAAAGCCAAGCAGGAAACCGGTTGCGAGTCTAGACGGGCAGACGGAAGGCCCTTCCCCCGCGTTTCGATCTTCGAAAACGAAGCAAGATTTTATTTTCGCCAGGCCAATCGCAATAAAGAGATCGCCACAGAGCCCAGGGACGAAGCGACGGGGCGGACAAGGGACAGGGATGACCATGGTTGACCGAGCTGGATGCTTGGCAGTATCAGTGAATCTGACTTTAAGTATCTAGAACTTTCTAGAACCATCTACCCCTGTACTGATCCATGTAACCATGTATGTAACAATGTAATACATTGACATGTATGATGGTAATAACTATCGTATAGTTATAATATATATATACAGACATGTAATATCATATATTATATATATGGCATGCAGGGCCACAGCAGTGAGAACTTCCCTAAGTATCCCCAAGTGACCTTCACTTCAACAATCAGTAGCCAAACCATGTCCCAGTTTCATGAGGGAATGAAGTACTATTTGCCATCAGCGACAAGTAGAAACCCGCGGAAACCACGTTCAACTTTGAAACTAATCGACAAAAGAACCCATGAAGAACTGCACGTTGGCAAATGCAAAACACATGGCGAATCCAACGGGCTCTTCATTCGTTTCGAAGACGCCCAGCGCCGCATTTTTGGCTCCCGGCTACGCCATGCGAAGCCCGATCTTGGCGCGGAAACCCGTGCCGAGGTGGACACCCTCCGAGGAGACCTCGAGGTGGGGAACGAAGGGAGTCGACTCCAGGGACGGCAGGTACTCGAGGTGGTTAGACAAGGAGATGGAGGGTTGGGGGTAGCCTTGGGAAATTAATCCACTATGGGAACACAGTGTGGATCCATTTTTTGGGGGGATTCATTTTTTAGGATCAATTTTCAGCAAGAAGACTCGATAGGGTAGGCGCCCACCATGGATGGGACTCCAATCGCAGCAGTGATTGTTCGATGGTTTCGCAAGTTCCATCCGTTTGTTGGTTGTTCTTTTTTTCACCAACAATCGCTGCGGGAGATGGGACGGGAGACGATTGATGGGTCCTGATCGTTGGAGTGAACATCCAAGGATGAGAACCCAGTAGCCCGAGTATGCCTGAGCTATTCGAGCAAAAACTCAGGCTCCTCAAACCATGCAAGTGGAACATGGTGGAAGATAACATTCCTCACCTTCCTCTACAAACTGGCACGCGCATGGAACTATTTGGAAGTAGAAAACCTCCGGTTTGGGAAAGACTTGTTTTTCCAGGGCCCGCCAGGGCCCGGCCCTGCTTGGATTTTTCTGAGTGCATGGTGTCGATCAGGCGCTGGAGAAGGAACTTGATGAGGTGCACGAGCAGTTGAAAGCAGCCAAGGCGTGGGTTTATTGGCGCATATTCCTCGTTGGGATGGGAACTCTGATGAATCGTTAGCCCTGCCTACCTCAATTTTCTGGGGAGGGGTCCCAATCTTTTGCTACGAGTCCTCCAAATCCAGAAGTCCTTTCACTGATACAAGAGACATCTATAGAGATACAAGTATGAGATCACCGTTACTAACGGTTGAAACCCTGGGCCTGGGGGTTTGACCCCACGGCCGCCGTTGAAGCCGCCGTGGCGGTCGCCAGGCCGACACGGCCGATTGGTGCGAGAGGGCTCGGGTGCCTGAGAGGGCGTGTGCACCGTTGAGTGGCGCAGTCCCAGAGCAGAGCAGAGGATCTGATCCGGTCAACTCGTGGTTTTGAGGACGTTGTGATGTCTACAGGGTACAGTGATGTCTACAGTGTACAGTGTATTCTCCAGCGTTGCAAACTGATCGGTGCCGGGCATAAAATTTGGGCCACGCAGCCATGGGCTATCCTGAACATGTTTTTTTTTTTAATGTCTTTCTCGACCAAAGCGACCGTGCGAATGGGAACCCGTTTGATCTCCCGACACACAAACCAGTGAGGCCATGGTTGCAGCGGACCAGTTGGCCACGGGCCAGGGGAAGGCGGCGGGACGTTGGTCCGGACGTTGGGATGTCGGCTTCGTCGTGTGGCATGCGTTCGTCCGGATGTGGCGAATTGGTCCTGGCGACTCGCGACCTTGAGTGGTCTTCTCCCCGGAGACCACCGAGTATCTGCAAGAAACTCCTGCTCCAAGCTTTCAACCCTCCGGGTTGGTTTCGGAAAGGAATAATCAAGCACCTTTCCGAAAGCATGAACAAACATGAAAAAAGACACAAGTCCCAGACAGCTCTTTGCCAGTCATCCCATCTTTCCCCCGTCTGCTGGATGCCTGGCCTTCGGTGGCTGGACTTTGGAACTGTTAAAAGATCTTAAAACAGGTTCAACCAAGCAGATACGTATATAAGTGTTGATATTAATATATTTTTAGGTACTTGTAAATTACGATTATACAGGGTAATTGAAACTGATCAAAGAAATGTGGAGGGTGAATAGGTCTGGAAATTGAATTCAGAGGAGGTTGCCGCACAGATCGATTCACTAGATACTAAGACTATGTCAATCCCGCGGAAGAGAGCCAGGCCGTGTCCACGTTCTTACGGAAGTTCCCTGCAGCTCCTGCGGTGCTGGTGCTCTTCAAACACCTGTTGTCACAGGCGGCGGAGACACTAGAGGCGCGCTGACGAGTTGCTGTGCCAAATGAGAGAGTTCGGTTGGTGGAAAGTTGGGGTGTGAGTTTTGGTGGGGTAACCCAAAGAGGTGAGTTGTTGTTGTTTCTGCTCTTGTTTTGGTGTGTGTGTGTTTGGTTCATTCTACATCCCCAAAAATCAAACCACTTTTTTCCAACCCGCCGAGGGTCGTGGCTCGTGGCTCACGGCCTGCTAGCACCGCCATGGTCCGAAAAGGTTCTTGGATGTTTTTGGGGTGAAACAAAGCAGAAGGTTCTCGGGATTTCGAAGGCTCTCGGGATACACCGACCAAGCTTTTCTCATGTCGCTGAACAAGTTCTTTTTCGTTCCCATTTGGTTCATGAATCGTCTCATTTTCCGAAGGACCGGATCTGAACACTGATGTCTTCCGCAGACCCATGATGCACAGACCCAACATTACAACTGGGGTAAAGGAACACCTCAGCCCGGCGAACCCATGTGCCAGGCTTCCGTGAAACAGCGGCTCTTCCTACATGGCGCGCCAGGGGGTGGGATCGCGAGCGTGGGGGGGGGGGGCCCTGACAGGAGGGTTTCAAGGAAGGACCGATGGAACGGTTCTTTGTTTGTACTCCAATGTATACGTGGGGGTTCGACTACCAAGTTTGGTTGGATAGGGGACACGCACGGGATACGCACGATCTGTTAAAACGAACATCTATGGCCCGCAAATAGATTGGAAAGACGAGGAAGTTTCTACCCTTCTTTTCTGCCCCTGAAAGATATTTTGACAGTTTGACAGCCTTTCTAACCTACCCGAAAAGGGCTGCAGCCTTGCAATTCTTTTTCTCAGACTCAGAACCAAGGGAGATTCAGAGTCGGCCACCCCACTGGTCACCACAATATGGACCACCATTGCCATGAGTGTGTTTTGGTGCGCCAGGACAATATTTGTCTCGCCACGAGCTGAATCAGTTCCTCACAGACTTCGCTGGCTTCAGGATGGGACAAAGACATGAAGATGGGCGTGCGACAGTGAGTTAGAAGGGGAAAGCCCATCAGTTGGAGGGTCTTTCTCTTTTGGATACACACCCATCCAACACGAAGCCCAATGAAGAGCATTGGAGGCCTAATTAGGGTTCAGTGCCTGTTGAAGAACTAACTACAGTTGCGGTACCTTTTGATGACTCTACCCTGGCTTGAATGTCTTAACTTTGGATGGAAGGGTTGTGTACCGTTCTGGACAAGCAGATGGATGTAGAGATGTTCCAAAAGCTGCAACAGAGATGATACCTTTAGAGAGGCCCCTGAATTTGGGATACATGTTCCATGAAGGGATTCAACCTTTCCTACTCTCGACTATATCCCTTTGTTGCAGGCGCTGGAGGAAATGGTTGACCCTGACAAACGAAAACTCGTGACCCCCATCCTCGGAAAGGAGAGACAGGGTTGAGTGAGTGGTGGTTTTGACTGGTTGTTTGGAATTTGGAGATGTTGCATGGTGTCAAATTCTTTGCTGCTTCTTTTGAAGCTAGTGGCAGCTGATTTTACTAGAATGCTATTGGTAGGTTTTGGGAGCATGGGCATCGTTGCACATCCAGCATGCTGTAAGGGTTTTTGCCTCCAAACATGGCTTCCATGTTTGTTGCGTCCTTTTCTCCCCACTCAGTAACAGCCAAAATCAGCCTCACCATTTTGCAGCCCGGTGTCCCTGATGAGGTATATCATGGTATATCCTATCTGACCTATCTATGTCTACAAACCATCTGACAATATCTACCATTTACTTTAAAGGGCCAGAAAATGGAGCCACTTGGATCCCACTTCCGTCTCGTTCTTCGCTCCTTTGGGAAAGCCCAACGAGGATCCGACGGGATTTCCCATGATTTCCAGTTCGGGATCCTTTGGACCGCAAAGACCGATGGTGGGTGGCCTCCCAGATCCTCTTTCTGCTTTCCGGAGGCACGTGGAGCTGAACGTGGTCTCCCAAGCGTTGTTTGGGGCTTTGGACTTGGAGCGAGAAGGACAGATTCCACAGGCGAGGACAGATTTGGTCCGGTGTGGCCTCCAGTGTCTTGAAAACAATGCTTGGTGCCACTGGGGTGATAAGGAAAAGGCTTGGTGAGGGACGTATACAGGTGATGTCACGGTAGCAATTGTCTGATGTGTGGCTTGGATGCAAGCTGCTTTGTTGTGAACTTCTGAGACTCAGCTTCACTGACAGGATTTGCTGCTGGAACGTTTGCGAGAGCCACCATCCATGAAGGCTCGCTAAAGTCAGACGCATGAAGACGGTGGTGCAGAGACTGTTCAGATTGAGGAGATGGGAATGCCTTGAAGACTTGCGGTGCAGCAAGGGGTGGCTTGTGAAGATCTGGAAAGAGACGAACTGTCAGCAAACCTCCCTCAGGTTTTGTTCTCCTAGTTGTTGTCATCGTAAAAATAGCTACGGAGACCTCCATGAACGACCAGACACAGGGGAATATATACATATGACAACTACATCTTTTCTCCCCAGAGAAGCTGGAAAGTTGACAACTAGCAGGGGGGACAAAGAAGCCTCTCCCAAACCTCACAAAGCAAAGAAAAAAAAGAAGCGAAGATGCTTGGGCCCCTTGAATCAGACCCTTTTAAGGGTTTGACGGTGGCCTAGATGAAAAGAAGGGAACCGCGGCTCCCCAGACTGGATTCACCTGTGCCGCGCGGTTTTTCGAGGAGGTTTGGCTCGCCGACCTGGAAAGCCTGTGGCCCGGGCGCGAGAGCATTGTCGAGTGCGCAGCAGAGTGGCGCACATATGCGGCGCATGCGGATGCGGCACATGCGGCAATGTGATGAGGAAGGGTTGAAAGCAATTTGGTAGAGTCTTGTAGTTTGTAGAGAAGCTTTGGAGAAACGAAGCATCACCATCATCCAGCATCACTACTTCTCTTTGATTGGTATTTAGAGAGATGGTGATGGTGGTACAGTGGTAGAGACCTCCTGGGCACCAGGTATGCGCGCCGCTCGCCACCCCGGCAGAGCTCGTTGCCCAGGCTCGGGTGGTTTTGGGATGGGCGGTTCATGCGCTGGAAACGAGGTGATGGGTGAGATGAGTTGGGAGGGCTGGACAGTTGGCGATGACTTCCACCTGGTGGTGTTTCTAGAGGTTTCTAGGGGTGTAAAGGGGGGCTTTTGAACGCGGATCGGAGGAGTTGGGGTTCTGCGATCAATTCGCTGCGAAATGGAATCTTACTTTACGATACATTGAACATCGTTTCTATCATGACAATTGTCAGCGATGCTCTATGCTATGCCATAATACAATTGCTGAGAGATACGCAATGACATAGGCCGTATTTTGTGTTGTTTTTCGGACACTCTTGGTCGCAGACAATACGATACATATTCTTGGCAAACAAGCACCAGAATGTTACTGTACAAGAACCACCGCCTGGGAATGATTCATGAGTTTTTGAGTCGATCCTTTTTTTGTACAGTAGTACACACCCAGCTGTTCTGCCATAAGTGATGTTGAGGAGACATGACATGATCTGCTCTCACATACTGCCCGACATCATACGAAGAGCAGAGCCCGGTGATCACCCGCCAGGCCGCGCAGCAGCCGACCAGGCCAAAACCCCAGACCGTAGAATCCGCAGAATGCAGACCGGTTGTGCGTCCTTCGTTTGTTTTTGGATGCGATTTCAAGGGAATCCACCAGGAATCCATTTGTTTGGATTGTCAGAAGTCCAGATGGTTGTGGATGTTTAGGTAGTCGCAACCTGTTTAGAATCATTGGAGGCCGTCAGGGCATTGATCGAGCTGAACTCTCGATGTTGATATGCATGCAAATTGCACCCGCAATACCATGAAATGCCAATATAATACACAGTTGAATCACGTTGCCATGTCAATGAAGCACGTTCAGAGATTGACTCTATCGACGTTTTTGTTATCGATTCTACCGAGAAAGTCAGGTCATGACGAGGTCATGAACAGTGGACCAATACTCAATTGATCTCAATTGTATGATGCCATTGCGATCTTTACTCTCCTGAAGAGTGTAAATACCTTGTGGATCTTAATACATGCCATATGGAAGCCAATGCCGAACAGGATAGTGAAAATAGAAAACCCCTTCTTGAGCTAAGAAACAGATTACAGTAGAAACATGGGGCACCCAAAACCCTCAATCCACCCATCCTCACAGCCATGGAAACATCGGTACCACCTCCCCTCCTTGGGCCCGGCGAAGTGAGGCTCGGCATGCACGGCACCGGGTGCCTTTGCCGGGCGAAGGCCCAGTGGGCGAGGGTGCCCAGAGAGACATGGAGGCCCAGTGGTTTGGAACGGCGGCCCAGTGGCACTCGGTGAAGTGGGAACTATCATCATCCATCCATCATCACCCTATTTTGGGTTTGGCTGGTATGACCCTGGCCTTAGCTTTCGATTGGATGGTTCAGTTGTCAGGTGTAGTTCTTGTGTGAACGGATCAAATAGAGTCTGCATGGATATGCACGGCATGGCTGAAGCAAAGAACACTCTCCATTCAATTCTTAGAAGATAGGTGCGGAAGGAGCTTGGTCACAGGAGCTTCTTCAGAGCTTAGAGTAGATGGCCACAACCCCCAAGATGACCTTTAGTAGGGGAGAGGCGATGCAAACCACCCACCCTGGGGATTGTGCCATCATGTGCCATCTGCTCTCAATCCACAAAAAGCCGTCAAGCTCCAGTAGACCACATCTTCCAGACCGGAGGGTTCACCTGGGACGCTTGGCATCGCTGGGCTCCATGGTGAACAGCCAGATTCAAACGGCTAAGACTCGCTGATTCCCGCGTTCCGTCCCCTCAGGTCTTCCGTTCCTGTGCCGTTCGGGTGCTCAGAGCCGGTGGATTTCGGGAGAACTGGGACCGTCCCACCAGTGCCCCCGAGGTCGAAGTCGACGCCCAAGCGGCCGAGCACCGTGCAGCCACTGAGTGAGCGCGAGTTCAGCGTCCATCGCAAACATGGGAAAGAGATGCATTTCTTCAAGAGCTGCAGATGTTGAGCTGTTATGAGCTGTCATGAGCTGTTCAGTGAATCAGACGGCCACATCAAAACATCAAACAGGTCCTGTGATGGCTTCGGCCGTCATCGCTTCTCAAAACCGCTTGGATGACTCGTCCACGCCTGACACACACGCATGTCCTCCCAGGCGGGACACGCACGAAGCCGAAGAGATCGAGATCAACAAGGTGCCGAAGCCGAGCTCAACGAGCTCAGAGCAAGTCAGTGTCAGTGTAAGGCAGTGTCAGTCTGATGGTACATTAGCGCAGATTTGTTGATACAGCGCAGATTTGTGCAGTGTTGGTCGAGGAATGATTGGCAGGCTCCCCGCAAAAAAACAGTGGGAGGATGTTAGAGGTTTCTGGGATGGTTGAAAATTGCATGTTCCTTGTGGCAGACTCCCACCCGCGGTGTAAGAAATGTTGCCCGGAGCTGTTTGCATTATTCACATCGCAATCATCGCAAAAAAGATTTAGGGGTGCCTCTGGACATTCCTCCAGTGGGCAAATGGCAATGGCGGTCATGCCTTTTGGGAAAACATCAAACTCGCAAGAACATGGGCTTCCCTACCTTTAACCGGGGGTTGACGGGTGATTGACGCTTGGCAGGTCTCGTGCAGAAAGACCGGAGGAGCACTGTGAGGGCCCAAAGAGCTGCAACGCCTGGGCGTTGTGGCGAGTACTCCAACGAATTGAACAAGAATGAGTGCATCAGATCTAAACATATATATATATATATATTTAACCCGACCTCACCCGGAAATAACGACCTAAGTTTGAAAATGAGACCCACACTTTATTGTAAAAAAAAGAACAACCCCCCCCCAGGAGTCTGGTGACCCATCCGGGTGAAAAGCTTTGGAAAGGGTCATGGGTTCAGCCGAAGATTGTCTAAAAACACTTGAAGAATAACATCATGTTGGAACTAGGGTTGATTTTGGCCACCCCAAATGCCAGTTCCACAGTATGAGTGGTTGACACTGGCGCAAGCGCTCCACAGCAGTCTTTCAGCAGCAGCGCAGCAGCAGCATCCTGGCCCGGGAAAGTTTATTTTTCCTGCGTTGCCCATCCGTTTGCTCCCTGCCCACCACAAGCCCACGGCCAGGCAAAGCTGCACGGGGCGCGGGCGCCAGCGTTTCCAAAGACATGGTGAACTTTAGAACCCTTAGAAGATCAGATTGGCTGGGCTCTGGCTGGCCAGTCAAAGAAGCCATGCGCAGTCAACTTTGGAGAAAAATTTCCTGGGCCGGGAAAGTTGTTTTTTTCTATTTGTGCGTTCCCTTTTTGGGGCTTCAAGCTGTTGCAGGAAACTTTTTGCCAGAGGTCAAAGAAGCCACGTGCAGTCCACTTTGGAGAACACACTTTCCTGGGCCGGGAAAGTTGATTTTATTTTTTCTATTTGTGCGTTCCCTTTTTGAGGCTTTGAGCTATTGCAGGAAACTAATACCCAGAGGGAATGTTGCTGTTAGGGTAGCAGAGGTCACAGAAGCCACGTGCAGTCAACTTTGGAGAAAAATCTTTCCTAGCCCGGGAAAGTTATTTTTTAATTGTGTTGCTGAATTGCCGCCCTTGCTCGCTGCAGGTCCTTGAGACAGTCGAGGCCGTGCAGGACCAGTGGTTGAGCAGTGGCCTGGATCCGGAAAGCGAGCATGTTTGCGCCGTTCACATTGGTGATCAGCTCCGCTTCACTTCAAAGCCCATAAGTGTTGGGCCTCTTGGGCGACGGCAGGCTGAGTTCAAGGGTGTGTTTGGCTGGGTGAACAGCAAGGTGGCTGGTTCGGCCTTGTTCCTTCCACGGCGTTGCTACCGCCACGCTTCGGATGGTGCTCCAGAGTTGGCAAAACTGGCCGGCATGAGTGATGAGGCTTGTGAGAAACAGATTGCGGTCGAGGATGGTGAGCTGGCCAGAAAAAGCCCATTGCATTTGCAAGGGTTTGGTGTTTTCGGGCTGGAAGACAGGTGTCGTTGTCGCTTGTCCAAATTAAGGTTCGTGTTAATCCCCTCACAGAAGTTCGTACAAGGGTTTGTTCACAGAAGTCTTCACGAGCGCCGGTCCAGTTTCATCACTCCGGTGGGGGCCCAAAGTTACCCCATTGATTCGATGTTTTCTCCTTCAACTATTCCGAACTTCCGAATGTCTGTCCCCTGCCAGGCCTGCCTCGCCTGCGCCTGCAGCGACAGGGGGCGACCTAGGATAATTTCATAATTTCACTAAATCAAGGTTTAAAGATATCTAAATTAAGCGACGACCTAAGAAAGAACTTACATAAGTCACGCAGATATATACATATAATTGGCAAGTACTCCGACAATGTTTCCGATGAAGAGGTGCCAGTGGAAGGACGTTTCAATTTTCACTGATGGCTATTGAGAAGGATCGTGCACTCAGAGGACTTATGGACTTGGTCCTTCTACCTAATTCAACACTCCAAGGGATCCACATCAAAAAAGGGCTTCAGCCCCGACCGCTTCGTTTGCTCAGTCAAAACAAACCTGGAACCCCATATTAGACTTGAAGAAAGGAGTGGCAACCGTTAGCTCCTTCTGGTAGTGTCCACCTTGTTTGTTGTGACTGAGGCACACGGCCTGCAGCAAGAAGCTGAACCCGTGGCCGTGGAGAAATGCGGCGCGAGTGGGGCGAAGTTGAGCAAAGTTAATGGAGGTTGACTTATTGGATATTGAGTCATCAAGATCTTGGATAATGCAACACCCAGCCAATAGATTTTCCCCAAATAGATGCTTTGTTGGACAAACAGATTTTGGGAAGACTGATTCCAGGAACAGTCTTTCTTTGTCCTTCATGCAGCTTTTTTTGGGCTCCCGCCGGGTGCCATCAGCCACCCTGAAGGGTTTGGCAGGGTGACTTAGCCGCCTCCAAAACAGTGACATGCTGAGCAAACATCGGCGTCCAGACGAAGGAAAGAAAGGGTAGGGTAGGATGTAGGGGAGGATGTAGAGGATGTAGATAGGATATGATAGGACCGGATAGATTAAAAATTGTTTGCCCATTGATTCTAATATGTAGTAAGGACAGTACGGATATGTAAGGATGAAACAATCCGTAACATTCCTGAAGGTTTGAGGAACATGCTCTCAGGCCGAACTGGTGAGTCAACAGTGGCAATCATGTGGGGTGACAGATGGACACTCAAAATAGCGGAAGAATGCCAGGTTGGGTCACTTTTGTTCACAGTACAGCATGCCTGCTCATATTGGGGGAGTGCATGCTGGGTCTTGGGTTTTGATTCATACATGCAGCTGCACCACTTCTCCAAATAGCAAGGGAAATGGAGAGGTTTTGTCATGCTTTGCCATCAGGACTTCTGGGTTTCCGTGTGATGCGCCCTGGAAGGTCCAGGTCCGAAACAAGCGTCTGCAACGAGGAAGGAGTCCTCCTTGTTCGTCCTGTATCCTGCCTGAGGCTGATCGCGCGATGAGTCAGGGGCCAAGTTGAGGGCTGCGTTGAAGCGACGCCAAAAGTTGGTTCAAGAAGGAATCATCTGTACCATGATTTGGCACAGCGCCAGGTATATACTATACACGAACATATGGGACACATGTGACACATGGAAAAAACGGAATCATTTGTCAAGTCAAAAATTAATCAGAAACTGGTTGAACGTGATCTCGGGGTGGTTCCAAAAATGAGAATTCCCCTTTTGTTGTAAACTGTTGAGGCTCAGTGGCTGTGGCGGCTTTTTTGAGCTGGACCACGCGATCATCCCCAAGTGTTGCATTTTGGCCCCTAGAACCCATTCATGATAAAATTACACATTACCAACAAGCAGCCCCACTTCTGGTTGTTGGTGAACATTGAACACCTCAGCTGGTTGAGTCCTTTGCTTTTACCCATACCTTTAGACTCAGAAGTCCGCTGAGCTGCTTACTCGCATGTCTAAGAGTTCCAAGAGTTTCTGAAGGATGAGTGGACAAGTCTGGGCGCTCCGCTCACACAGCAAAAGAGAAGCCTCCGTGACATCGTTCTTCGCGGGAGTCGCCCAGAAGGGCGGTGGACCCACTCGACCAAGAGCTTTTCCAAAAACAGAACATCACGACGCCCAGTATGACTCCCTGAAGAAGCCAATCGGCTATTTGTTTGTGAGAGGTTCGATGAAAGAATGGGCCCCCTTTATGGACCCCCATCTAAAAGACATCTTGGGGTTTGTGCGCTCGAACCTTTGAAACCTATGTACAAAGTTCCTAACTTTGTTTGTGGGAGAAGGAGAAGTGTTGGTTCCACCTCACTTGCGAAAGAAGACCTCTTCAGTTACTGTAGTTTGATTTCACACTGCAAGCCGGACCAGTTTTGGAGGCATCCATTTTCAACTGCTTGGGTTTCCAGGGACACCAAGACCAAAGCCTTTCAGCTTGGGTGTGTGATGGAAGCCCAGTGTAGGGTAGCCTGCTGTGTAGCCAAACGTCCTATCAAATCGATCCAACCACCGTCGCTGAGGCCAGTCGTCCCGGACGCCCTACGACCATCTCCGGTACCGTGCCATCCTCGGTCTTGGTCAGGGTCTGCAGTCATTCACTCCAGGGTTTGCAGCGTGGACTGAAAGGCAACTCCTTTTCAGCATGTATGCTGCAGGATGCTGCAGGATGCTGCACTGCCAAGGGCTTTCCTTTGGGTATGTCTGGGTGATGTTTCGGAATCCTCTGCCTATTGCGTCATCGAACATCGATTGGAGCTTGGGTGGGCAACGTTGGAACCAAGGGGGTCTTAACTATAAGTCTTGTAAATTGGGACGTGGGCCTCGGTTGGAGCCTGGGTGCTTTGAATCCCCAAAAGCATCCCCAATGTGGATTGACCTGCGGAGGGCCGCTTTCAAGAGATGGTTTGAGTCTTCCTGGATCATGTACAAGCGCAGATGGATGGGTATGGTGGGTATGGCTCGTGGAGGCAGATCATGAGAAAATAAGTGATGTTTGTTGGAACAATGGGGAGACCTCCCGTTCCTGGCGGAGGGACAATAAAGTCAACAGATGCACCCAGCATTTCAGTCATTCTGAGACAACTCAGTCTGAGGTTATCCGGAGACATGGAGGACGGGAGACTCACGTTTGAGACTCACATTTGTTGCCGTGCGTTTGATGCACATCCCGAGATGCGTTGGCCTACCTACATGGTTTGGATCGTTTGCAATACAGCTTGCGCAACATACTTTTTTGAGAATTGGTTCTGATGCCTTTTGGGCTACATGTACTGACAAGATGAAACGTTCACGAAGAGTGGGGACTTTCTCCCGCCGACTTCAGGTAATTGGGCACCAGTTTGGCCAACATCTATCAAACAGTAGCATGTTATCGTTTGTCTTTGTTTAAATATTGTTTAAGGTTCCCCAAACAGTGTGGACACACTAGGGGTTCTTACGGTAGGGGTAAGGGCCGGTGTCTAATTGAGGTGTCCGGCTAATTCGCTGCTATTTACTGTACATTCATGCCTCTCGAAATCCTCGAAGTGCATTTCGACTGCGCAGGCTCACAAATCTGGTGGGCCGCGGTGGGTGCCTGTCGCAGAACACAACTCGGAGACGGACATACCGAAGCAAGGCCACATGGAACATACCATTCTGCGTATGCGTATATATAGACATATACTGCGGGGGCTGCGCAAAGTAACCTGACAGGCTGCGCGCAAGCGTCCCCGCCGCAAAGCTGCCATGACAGCCACCGTAGCCAAACCAGAGGCTGTCGTGCGACCCTCACATTAAACGGTATTATACCACTGTGGAATCCCTTTATTTTTCTTGTACTTGGACGCCCTTTATACATAAAAATAACATGAGCCTCGGATTCAGGACTTCATAAGTGTTTGGTATATCCATCATAATCCCACCCATCAGGATTTTATAAAAGCAGGTTGTTTTTAAATGCACTCCTATTGGTGGGTCCACTGGTGAACTACCTGGGTTTCAGGATTCTATTAAGCAATACCTGGAGATTCAGGGTCGCGCACCAAATCAGACTATATACAGGAAAAGTAAATGGATTCCAAAACACGTCCTGGAAGTCCACTGCAACCATAGGCCCCTTTCAAGGGCTGCCTTCACAACCTTATTCCACTCCTCTTCCGTGGCTCTGGCCTCTGACCGGTGTGGGGATTCAGGCCACTCCACCCACTCACTCACCCACTCACTCACTCACTCACTCAGTCACTCACTCAGTCACTCACTCAGTCACTCAGTCACTCAGTCACTCAGTCCCACCCCACCCCACCCCACCCCACCCCACCACGATCTCTGGACCCTAAATCTCTGGACTTTCTGGTGCTACACCTCTAGACCTCGCACACACTGTTTGGGGTCTCTTGCCGGGATGATTTCCGGGATAATATATTTATTTAACAGTCTTAAACGGTGAGATCACCTTGGCCCCATGGGTTTGAGTACATGTCCGTCTCAGTACAGGTCATTGGCCACCCAACGGATGGCACGGCATCCGGCTGCCAGGAAGTTGGTGTCCATCTTGGACAAAGAGGGCGTGCCTCGGAGAACAGATGTGAGCCAAACGCTCTCTTCCATGTTTGACCCTAAACAGAGGTAGACAAACAACTCAGAAAAATGATGACTCAGTCTCCCTACGTTTATTGC